CATTCAATTAAGTTTGTTCATCATGTTATTAAAATTTGCAAATTCTTGTTTATTGACTATTCAATCTATTAATTGGTGAGAGACATGTAAGACATCTCCCTCCTTTAATACATTTATTTCTACTTATACATTTTTTCAATTTTCCCCCTGTATTATGAGGCTACATTATTAACAGGTGTGTGTGATAAGACACAATCTGGAAAGTCATCCCGAGGTCACTGCTTCACTCCTTCCTGATTATGGGGTGTACCCTATGAAAATTCCCTCCCTGACATCCTGATTCACATTAAACAGCCTTATAAGGTGACATGAGTTATCCCCTGTACATATCATGAATGTCACCTTTCATAGTAACACTTATACTACTATGTAGTAGAATGTATTCTAGTATATTTTCCCAGTAAAATAGCTAATATGATTTTTTACTATTACCCTATTTTTCTTTCCAGCTTTTAGGACCAGTTTCAAGATCCATCAATTGGTCTTTCTGACAGCCATAAAAACTATGTGATCCATATTCTTAGGGAATATCTACATGGTTTGACCACCTAAAAATAGAAGCACTCATCCAACTGCCATGCCATTGGCAAACTTGCTGCCTTCTTCTACCTTATCTCCTAGTAATTATAGCTTTCACCTTCTGTATACTCTTGGGGTCCCTGGCATGGATAGCTCAGGACTGGTGATGCCTTCTGGTTCTACCTGTGGCATAGCTATACCATCTATCTGAGAATGAGGCCGAAGGACAACTCATTGGTGTCCTTCCAAAAGAGAAAATTGTCTCAGTGGATTTCTAGATTGAGTTTTCTTATCCCACCCCAAGAGGTTGTTCCATGATGTAGTTCTTAAAGTTCACCATTTCTCTGCTTTTGTATACAGCCCTTTGTTCCTGGCTCATTACTCTATCCCTTAATTAATTAATTAACTTAGAAATGGGGCTTTGGTATGTTGCCCAGGCTGGTCTTGAGCTTGTGGACTCAAATGATCATCCCACCCCAGCCTCCGATGTAGCTGGGATTATAGAGGTGTGTCATCATGCACAGATCTCTCTCTCTCTCTCTCTCTCTCTCTCTCTCTCTCTCTCTCTCTCTCTCTTATTATCATCATCATCATCATCATCATCATCATCATCATCATTTGTGGTGTGGAGGATCAAACCCAGGGCCTTGTACATAATAGGCAAGTGCTCTACTACTGAGCTACATCCCTATCCCATCTCACTCCCTTATTTTTATAGTTAGCTACTTTGAGTCCATCTGGAACAACAGGTGTGAACACATAGGCAAACAAACAATTATTCTAATAACTCTGCCTGAGCTAGTTCCCTTGCCCAGCAATAAGAAAAGTTCTAGGTGATAAATTTTATCTCCTGCAGTTTTGGGATTAGAAGCAGATGACTTACTCAATATTGGGAGGACCCATTTCCTATTCTCTGCAAGTATCTGAGTAGTTAAGTAATAAGGAATTACTTTATATTTTAAATTAAAGATCACCCTGTTGGGTAGATGCTCAGACCCAGGGAAACAGATTCATGATCCTGGCAGGTGAAAGAAGTTGCAAGACACAGTTGGGACAGTAAATGTGCTTTATTCAGAGGTGGCAACAGCCCCTAGCCAGTCCCCAGCTCTAGCTTCAGCCCCCAGCCAGTTCCATTAGCCCCTCAGCCAGTACTATTTGCCCTCTGAGTCATTTCCATAAGACTTTTTTTATATGCAAGTCAGACAAAAAAGGTGCCTTGTCAACAGGTTACATCAGTGGGTGCTTCCTCACAAGCAAATGTTTATGACCTTGAGTATACATACTAAATCAGAGTGTTTATGACCTTGGCTACATACTAAAAACATAGGTCTCCAGAAGCATTGGTGAGGGAATCTAACTACAGTCATTTAGGGCCTGCCCTACACACCCTAACAAACAAACCATGTACATATTACACATTTTAATTTTTTTGTTAATTTAAAGGCAGCAAATATGCCTAAAACACTAGATAAAGTAAATTACCCATGTTTCCTCAAGTAAAAGGCCAGCTGAGTTTATTGAATATATTTATATTTATTTGTTATACACCAGTTTGGCCATTAGCTTGAGTTTACCCCTCCATGTTATTCTTGTTTATTGACCTCCTGGTCAGGTCTCTGCATTTGCCAACATTCAGCATCATGTGGATGATCCATTCTACATTCAGATCTTCGGGCTACATATAAACTGCTATCTTTACAGAAGCATATCCTCTAGCTTCAGCTGTTCCCTGATAACTTCCCTCTATCTCTCTGTTAGATTGGTTCTTGCACTTCTCTGAGCTGTTGTTCAAGATTTATAAAGACATTCCTCTCAAAACAAGACTTTAGAACTTCCCCTCTTGCTCTCAGCTGTTCTTTTATGCTTTATAAAGAAAACAGATGGCACCCGGAGGAAACACTTCAATTTCCTACCTTTCAGTTTCTCTGGCGATACACCTAATTTACCCTCCAGGACAGTGTTTTTTTTTTTTAAATAAGGACCCATTTCCTATTCTCTGCAAGTATTTGAGTAGTTAAGTAATAAGGAATTACTTTATTTTTTAAAAGTTAAAAATCACCATATTGGGTGGATACTCACTCCCGTATTTTTATAGTTAGCTACTTTGAGTCCATCTGCAACAATAGGTGTGAATGCACAGGCATTTCCTCAGTACACTTGCATGTCTCTAAACTTAAAATAATAACTTAAAGTCTCTGAGGATTCTCAAGAATTAAAAATGGATCCATTAACCATCTGTTTAAGAGTATGATCCAGCAATCCCCCTTCTAAGTCTATATCCAAAATAATTGAAGGCAGAGTCTCAAGATGTTATTTGCACACCCATGTTCATATCATTATTATTCCCAGTAGCCAAAAGATAAGGGCAACCCAAATATTTATGGATGGATAAATGGATCAACAAGGTGTGATACATACAGTGGAATAGTATTCAACTTTTTAAAAAATATTTTTAGTTGTTAATGGACCTTTATTTTATTTATTTATATGTGGTGCTAAGAATGGAACCCAGTACCTCACACATTAGTGACAAGCGCTCTACCACTGAGCCACAACCCCAGCCCCAGTATTCAGCTTTAAAATAGAAGGAAATCGTGTCACATGTGGCAACATGAATGAACCTCAGAGACACTATACTATGTGAAATATGCCAGTCACAAAAGATAAAAACTTTTTGATTCCACCTATATGCAGTATCTGTGCAGTCAAAATCATAACAACAACAACAAAAATGAATGTTGATCACCAGAGGCTTGGAGGGAGGGGAAATGAGGAATTATTATAATTATTATATAGAGTTTCAGATTTGCAAGAGGATATTTTGCAAAACTGGAGATCTGTTATACATCAATGCAAATATATTTAGCTCTACTGAACTGTACACTTAAAAATGGTTAAGATGGTAAATTGGTATATCTGTTCTTAACCACAATTAAAATAAAATATCACTAGGTCTCATGTCTTTTTCTAGCTGCAAATCTTTGGAAAAACTTTCTATGGTCACTGTCATCTCTTCTTTATTTCCCATGCCCTCTCCAACCCACTGCCATCTGACTTCTGCCCTCACCATTCCACTAAAACTATTCTTGCTAAGGTTGTCAATGTTCTCTCAATATTTCTGGGATTAATGTACTCAGGGTATGGGGCTATGTTCACTACTTCCTGGAAGTTCTTTTATCCTATGGCTTGTGGGAGACTCTGCTTTGTTCTTTGCTGATGTCTCACTGACAATTCTTTTTTTTTTTTTTTTTGGTTGGTCTTTCCCCCCGTCTTTTCTTCATAAATGGTTCTCTTCTTGGCTTGCAGTTCTTTGTGTCTTTACAGTTTCCTTGAGAAAGCTCAACTAAATCTGAAGTACCAGCACCAGCTATCAAATTTATATCTCTGCTCAGGTCTTCTTCTGCTTTGGCAATTCTGAGTGTGCCATGATGCTCTTCAGTCTCAACTCCTCAAATTAATTGCCAACATTCAGCATCATGTGGATGATCCATTCTACATTCGTCATCTCTCCTCCTTTGTGTTCTAGCTCAATGATATTCATCCTATTCTAGAACCTGAGAGACAAACTAGCATTCTAATTCTCCTTTATTCTACATAACCAATTAGTCAAAAAGGCCTAGTCATTCTAAGCCTTATTTTCAAGATGTATCTCAGCAGTCATTGCCTTCATTTTCATCATCTACTATCTTTAAGCTGGTCTGCCTCCAATTTTGTCTTATTTAAATTAATCTTCCACATCATGTTAGAGGGATCTAAAATTTAAGGCTGCTCATGAGGCTGGCCTCAAAGGCCTTTTAGTATCTTACCTTCGCTTTTAGAGTAAACTTCCAACTTTCATCACAAAGGCCCTGGCTGCACTCTTGCTCTAGCTATACTTTTTTTTTTTGCAATTCCCAGCAAGATATCACGTTGTTTTATTCATCAATACCTTTGCATTTGCGTCTCCCTCAGACTGGAGTGTTTTTCCCTACGTACTTGGCTAAGTGCCCTTATGACTGAGTTTAGGTATCCCCCATTCATGCTCCCGCAGCAAATGATGCTGCACTGTTATCATTATATGATCTGTGCCTTCACTAAACTGAATTCTTAAAAAGCAGAGACTAAATTCTTCATCGCTGCATTTCATCCCCAGCACCAAGCCTGTGACTTACTCCTCGGTTTAGGGTATGGGGGTGTATGTGTGGTGTACGCGAGCATGAATGGAGAGTATGAATTCTAACTTCTGCTAGGCACATAGCGCACTGGGGACACGAAAGCTGCGCTATTTTAACTCAGGCTTTTCCTAAGATCACCACCGAATTAGTGAGCAGCTCATCATCTCAGAGCTCTGCTGTAAACTAGAAAACGCAAACAGCGTGCCATCTCCTAGGCAGCGCTGGGCAGGTGAGGCGGGGCTACTGACTACCTCCGGGTTACAGAGACCTCACACAGGCGCAGACGCAGGAGAACGACACTCGTCCCGCCCTCTCCTCCACTTTGCAACCTACCGAGTAAGGAGCAGGCAAAAAAGTCACTTCCGGGAAGCTGAAAACACGCTTTCTGCGCTGCAACATGGAGGCTACCAGCGGAATCGATGAACCGGTGAGACGCTGCTTTGGGGCTGGGTAAGTAGAGAAGTCGAGCCCACTCGAGCCTTGAACTCTCCCCGACCCTGCATTTTTTTTTTCTTCTCAGGTTTCCGGGGAGCTGGTGTCCGTGGCACATGCTCTTTCTCTCCCTGCAGAATCTTATGGCAATGATGTGAGTATGATTCAACCACAGCTCCCACCCATCAAGCTAGCCTGGGATATCTGCAAGTCCTACCAGTAGATTTTAAGCCCCTTCCCTGATAACTTCCGCAGAGCTTCCCCACATCTGCCAAAACCGCATCTTCTTTCAGTTCGTTCTTATCTTTGTTTGCAGACACAGAACTAATATCTGTAAAAGTGGCTCACTAACTTTGCCACATTGTAGAATCACCTGGGGAGCTTTTAAACATCTCCATGTCCACATTACAGTCCATATTAACTAAATTAGAATGTCTTGGGGGTGGGAGCCAAGAATCAAGGTTTGTTTGTTATTTTAAAGGCCTCCTGTCGATTCCATTGTGTAGCAAAGTTGCACTGGCTTCTGGTATGTCTGGTTTGGACCCCCTGTGAGAAAGCACATGTTGTATTTTGAGAAACATGACAAAAGGACACTGAGAATAGTAATAACACCTGAATAAGAATGTAATACATTCTAGATGAGTGGGTCAGGCCCTAAGATCCAAAGGGTTTAGCTAAAGGAAAGACCTCCAAGAATGGAGGCAGTAGAAGACTTCACTGAGGAAGTTGAACTTGGAACTGGATCCTCAAAGTGTAAATAGCCAAAGACATGGATTGACAAGTAGGCAAACTTCATGGACTAAGACATGGAATAACATAAGGTACATGGATGTAACCAGTGCTTGATCAGACATATTTATAGCCTGGCCTGCTTCATGATACTGATTCATTTCTGCGCTGTTATAGGGTGGGAAATTGACTATCTGATAAACACAAATGATGATTATGACACGCTACACTCAACAGTGAAAAGTAGTCTTACATCTGTTATCTTTATCCTCCCAACAACATAGTAATATATAGATGGATGTATTATTTAACTTTTACAGTGATTTAATTCAGTCCTGAGAAACTGAATTATCTACCACTTTATGTAGTGTCCCACACATTCACTAGCTGCTGGGAAAAGATAGCCACTGGCTCATTGTTTCTTACATTGTGTAGGTAGCTGCTTTGGGTTGTCATAAGGACAAAAGAATCATTAGATCATCCAAATCCATTTGCCCACTTTTTATTCTTTGCCAGTACTTACCAGTTTTGGTAGTCCTGTTTAGATATCCACAGACTTTCTTAATTTGTTACTCAGTAGCAGGATTGGGGGATTTCTGACCTGGCATCCTTCACTCATTTGCAGCCTGATATTGAGATGGCTTGGGCCATGAGAGCAATGCAGCATGCTGAAGTCTATTACAAGGTGAGTTGTCTGCCTTCAATCCTTAAGCAGAATTAAATGTTTAACCATAGTGTATGGTACTTGGTATCCTCAGCAAGTTAAACAGTTACGTTTTGGAGATAGTTTGTATTTCTTAGCTGAAAAAAGAATCTTGCCAAGATAAAGGGGTGGAAGAAATTTTTGTTTGTTTTTTTGGATACTGGAGATTAAGGTCAGGGGCACTGAACCCCTGAGCCACATCCCCAGACCATTTTTGTATTTCATTTAGAGACAGGGTCTCACTGAGTTGCTTGGAGCCTCTCCATTGCTGAGGCTGGTTTTGAACTTTTGATCCTCCTGCCTTAGCCTTCCCAGCTGCTGGGATTACAGGCATGTACCATGGCACCTGGTAAGGAATTTGTTTTGATGATGAGAAGTTTTACTTCTCTGTGTACTGTTTTGTTGCTACCTGACAAAAGGGTATTTGGCATATACATAATAGTCAATTCATAAATATTTTTGGAATTAATGAATAACCCACAGACAGAGATAGCCAGGTAAAAATAGGGCCAGTTGCCAAATGGGCGGAGGGGATTTTATGCCCTTTAAAATTTTGTCATAATTTCATGCAAGACCTAGGTTTTAGTACTTCCTAATGAAATCTTCTGCCTGAGAACCATAACTGGTGGGAGAGTAGGTAAAGAGAAGGTAGTAAATCAGAGACTAACTTCTGTATGTTGTTTTATTATCTGGTAGCTTATTTCATCAGTTGATCCACAGTTCCTGAAACTCACCAAAGTGGATGACCAAATATACTCTGAGTTCCGGGAAAATTTTGAGAAACTCAGGATAGACGTGTTGGACCCAGAAGAACTCAAGTCAGAATCAGCTAAGGAGGTAAGAATTATCTTTAAAAATATTACCTAGTAGCTAACCAGTAATTTTTTCCCATATTTTTTTAGTGGTACATTATAGTTGTACATAATGGTTGGATTTGTATTTATTTGTACATGCACACAGTATGACAATATAATTTGGCCAATATCATTTCCCAGTATTTCTCCTTTCCCTCCCCTTTTCCCTAACCAGTAATTTTTGATTGTATGTTTTTATTCATTTAAATTCTTTTAAAATTTGTTTTAAGAAATTACCTAAAGGTTCAGGGCTTTTTAATAGTTATAATCAACTAAGTAAATTATGAAATGAATAATTTTTTTGGTATAATTTTTTAAAAAAAACTTTTTTAGTTGTAGATGGACACAATACCTTTAATTTATTTATTTTTATGTGGTGCTGAGGATCAAACACAGTGCTTCACACATGTGAGGTGAGTGTTCTACCACTGAGCCACAACCCCAGCCCCATATACAAATTTTTTATGTTTATCGAATCCATTGTTTTTTCTTTTTGGCTTGGGCACTTCAAATCTCCACCAACCCTGACCTTTCAGGCCAGAAGGAATAAGTTTACTTAAGTGGGTAGTTTGACCAGAAGGCTTGGAGAGGCGGGGAGGGCAGATATGGTACTGGAATTTTTTTTTTTTTTAAAGAGAGAAGGAGAGAGAGAGAGAATTTTTTTTTAATATCTATTTTTTAGTTTTCGGCGGACACAACATCTTTGTTTGTATGTGGTGCTGAGGATCGAACCCGGGCCGCACGCATGCCAGGCGAGCGTGCTACCGCTTGAGCCATATCCCCAGCTCCTGGGAGGTTTTTATAAAATATTTTTAGTAGCGGATGGATATTTATTTATTTATTTATTTGCAATGCTGAGAATCAAACCCAGTGCCTCACACATGCTAGGCAAGTGCTCTACCACTGAGCTATAACCCCAGCCCCCCGGAAGGTGTTTTGATTATCAGTATTTATGTTCAGGTGATTATAGGCCATGGATAACTGGGAAACTTATATTTCTCATTGCTTACGTAATTACCTTTTATTGTTAGCACCAGTACTCTTAATAATTAGGGAAAAAAATTTCTTTGAGAGTGGGCCCTTGGCTAATGAAGAATCTGAACTTTTTTTTTTTTTTTTTAGCTGTAGATGGACATAATATCTTTATTTATTTATCTATTTTATTTTATTTTTTTAAAGAGAGAGAATTTTTTTTAATATTTATTTTTTAGTTTTCAGCGGACACAACATCTTTGTATGTGGTGCTGAGGATCGAACCCGGGCTGCACGCATGCCAGGCGAGCGCGCTACCGCTTGAGCTACATCCCCAGCCCAAGAATCTGAACTTTTAACTCCTAGCAAGCTGTTACTGATCTTTGGAAAATGACTACTACTGATAGGACTTCTTTTTTAAAATCTAACTTTCTGACTTGGGCCAAATTCCTGCCTTCTTTGTTTCATGTGTGCTTTAGTGAGGGTGAATATTTTGCCTGAGCTAGCAAATAACTTCAAAAGAAAACAGAACTGGTTTAAGAAATTACATTTTAATTTCGAAATAAAGGATTCAGATGTATTTTTAAGTTAAAATATAGTCCATGTAGGGAAATACCGGCCTAAAGATAATAGCACAGAATGATACTGTTTCACTATGAAACCAGTAGTGACCTCAATCTTGGTCTTTTCCACTTTGGTAAAATGACTTCCTTATTGGGAAGTGGAAGCCCCTCTCTTGGCATGAGGACATCAGGCTTTTGCATTTGTCAACTAAGGCATTGTCTTATGTCTTTGCAGAAATGGAGGCCATTTTGCTTGAAGTTTGATGGAATCGTAGAAGACTTCAACTATGGTACTTTGCTGAGACTGGATTGTTCTCAGGGCTACACTGAGGAGAACACCATCTTTGGTGAGTTTCTTGCCTCTGGAATTGTTTTGTAAGGAGGATGAGGAGTCTGACTTTACTGAATCAGTGATATGTATAGTTAGATTGGAGCTCATCTCATTTGTTATGTTTTTCTTTTAAAATATTTTTAGTTGTAGATTGACACGATACATTTATTTATTTGTTTTTTGTGGTGCTGAGGATGGAATGATGAATCCAGGGCCTCATAATGTGAGGAAAGTGCTCTACCACAACCCCAGCCCTTGTTATATCTTTTTTTGCGGGGTGGTCATACTGGGGCTTGAACTCAGCGGTGCTTCACTACTGAGCTACTTCCTCGGTGCTTTTCATTTTTAACTGTGAGACAGGGTCTTGGTAAATTGTGGGTGCTGCCCTTGACCTTGCCAAGGTTGACATTATAATTATGGTCCTCCTTCCTTAGTATCCTGAGTTATTGGGATTACAAGCCTGAGCCACCATGCCTGAATTATTTGTTATATATTTAAAGATCACATTGCTGTTTTTAAAAGTAATTTTGAAATGGTTAACTATTTTCATTCTCATTGGTGTAAGATGAGAATTCAAGATCTCTGAAGTTCATGACTATATTTGAATGGCTTGTGTGTTAATTCAGTTGGATCTGTATATTTCCAGTAGATTTAGGAAATTACCTGAGACTAAGACAATAATCAATTCTATTGACCTTCTAGCTCCCAGGATCCAGTTTTTTGCAATTGAAATTGCTCGGAACCGGGAAGGCTATAACAAAGCTGTTTACATCAGTGTTCAGGACAAAGAAGGAGAGAAAGAAATCAATGGAGAAGAGAATAAAGAGAAAGGAATTAACATTGGAGGAGAAGAGAAAGTCAAGAAAGGAGCTGAGAGTGGAGGAGAAAAAGAGGAAGGAGTCAACAGAGGAGAAAAAGGGAAAACTGACAAAGGAGGAGAAAAAGAGAAAAAAGCTGAAGAAGCTGACAGAGAGATGAACAAAAGTGGTGAAGCATCTGTGTAAGGTAGACAGGGAACAGCACTCTAGAGGCTGCCACTCAGCTTAGCCTATAAGTATCACAGTGCTACTTGCATAGACCCCTTTGGTTAAATGTATGTTCTTGTGAAATTGAAGGATTCTCAGAAGGACATCTTTCTAGCCCAGTAGTCAAGAGCTACTTTTGTTGTTGCCTTGTATAAATTGACTTAAAGACTATTGGTGAGGTTTTTGTGTATTGTTGATATATTGTTTCTTGTCTCTCACTCCTGGTCAAGTAAGAAATTTTGTAAATAAATTGCTTTTGGTTTTAAGATTGTCTGTGACTTTTAAAAGTGTTTAAAAATAATTATGTACTTCAAATTTTTTAGGTATCTAATCCATAATCATGTATTACATAAAACAATTTATGCCCATTTCTTAATTATGCTCATTGTTTCCTGTAATAAAGTTCTCTCAACCTATGAAGTTGTACCAGGTATTGAGATTAGAAATCCTTATATAACAATTAACACTTGCCCTTGGATTGACTATAGCTCTCTAATTTCCTTTATTAAATCTGAAAAATATTGGTAAGTGCTTTATGGGGAGAACATCAGCAGCCAAATCCTTTTAGACTAGTGAACGGGGCCCTGTTTGTAGTAGAGGAGCAAAAGCCTTGATCTGCTTCTGTACTTGGTTCTTTTAACAGTCAGATTGTTATCTGAAAGTTAGCAAATAGTAATAGTGTAAAGTCTGAAGGAGTGGTTTCCCTTTTATAATGCTGTGGATAGTAGCACATACATTAACACAGACATATTTTTGAATTTTTTATTGGAGCATTATAATTATACATTGTAAAATCATTTTGAGAAAATCATATATGCATGGAGTTGAATTTACTCCATTTCAGTCCCCATTACTCCCCTTTCCCTCCCCTTCTCCCCCATTCTCCTTCCTCTACTGATCTTCTTTTCTCTCATTTATTTATTTATTTTAAATTGATGCTTCCCATATATAGGTGGAATTCCCAGTGATATATTTGTATAATGTGATTTTGTTGAATTCATTGAATGCTGCTTTGTCAGTTTCTAAAAATAGACACTGACTGTGAGGGAGAAAGGAGGGTGGGGGAGGGTGTTTTCTTTTTATCTAATGACTTTTCAGAATGTGTGCTTCAGTTCACATGCATATGAAGGTTCATGCTGTCGCCATAGACATACCAAACTTGACTGCTGAAATCAGGAAACTACAACGTTTATAGTACATACAGTTAATATATTTATAAGTTTTAACTACAAGGTGATCAGGCAAGAAAGGATTTACCAGACAAGGAAGGACAAAAAAACAAGTGTTTTTTCCCAGTGGATGTAGAAGAATAAAAATTTATGTTAACCAATGAATTGTACCCTAAGTAAGAGCTGAACTAGAGATGCACACAGCAGCAACAATTGTATACAATAGTGAATTCTCTGGCAAATTAAAAAAAATGTGTTAGAATTTTTATTTTATAAAAATATATGCTTTTTAAGGGGTTGGAGAGTGTTAAATACTTCATACTAGACTTATTTTTTTTATTAGATACTTTTTAGTTATACATGGACACAATATTTTTATTATTTTGTTTATTTATATTTATGTGGTGCTGAGGATCGAACTCAGTGCCTCACATGTGTGAGGCAAGCGCTCTGCCACTGAGCCACAACCCCAGCCCTAGACAGACCTTATTAAGAACCTCCTTAATTATGTTAATTTTCTGTAGTTCATGCACTTTTAAGTATCTGTGAGTGCATGTCCATATTCATTAACTTAGGAAAAATAAAAGAGGAAGTATAAAAATTATTGCCACGTACAGTTGCATGTCTGGTTGGCCTTTTCCGGGTTGCTTCCCAGAAAGATGATTGGCTTAATCACTTCTTTCCAATCAGTTTTACAGAGAACAAGGAGCATGCAAGTGGAAGTCACACGCTTTAAAGCAAAAGCATCTGTCCAGGAGTAGGTGATGAAAACTGGGGAGAGGAAGAAGAATAAACATACAGAACACTTTGGATGCACTACAAGACACCAGGAATGCAAGGAAGCATCCCAGGTTAGAGGGGAAAGATGGGTGGAATGCTGCTCTGATGGTGTAAAATTTTTAGGCTGACTGAACATTCCCACCCCCTGCATGTTTATTCTAGCCTGTTCAATATGGGCAAGATTTAAGAGTATGAAGGAATTTCATTCCTGTGATTTAAATTGAAGTTTTTCTGGGTGGGTCTGGCCTAATCAGGGAGTCCTTAAAAGAGACAAGAAGCTGGAGCAGATATCTATTGGCCTAGTAGAAGCAAACAGCTATGCTGTGAGAGGAATGTGGCAAGGAACTGAGAGTTGTCCTCAAGCAGGTGAGAATGTTCCTTGGCTGATAGCCAGCAAGAAATCTGGGATTTTACTCCTCATTTACAATGACTGAATTCTGCCAATTAGTGAGTTTGTAAAGGACTTTGAGGCTGAGATAGCATGGACACTGTTTTTGGCCCTGTGAGACCCTGAACAGAGGATTCAGGTAAGCTATAACTGACTCATAACCCATGGGACTATGAGATAATAAATTGGGTGTTTTCATATGTCACTGATTATTTGGTAATTTTTTTTTTGTAGAGCATTAGAAATCTTCTATAGGCTTTGGTACTGGAAGTACAGTGCTGCAGTAACAAACACCTAAAATATGGGAGTTGGCTTTGGAATCAGGCAGTGGGGAGAGCTGGACAAATTTTAAGTAGCATGATGGAGAAAGCCCAAACTGCCTTGAACAGACTGTCAGAAATATGAACTTTAAGGATGCTGCTGGAGAGGGCTCAGAAGGAAGTGAGGAACATGTCACTGGAGACTGGAGGAAGGGGAATTCTTAGTAAGTGGTAGCATTGTTCTTAGAAGCCAGGAAGTTTGAGATTTAAGACCTTGCTCTGAATTATTTAGGAGATGTGAAGTCAGGCTTAACAGGTGTAAACATCTGTGATTTATTCAGAATGTGTGACCTTTCCATTTACTTATCTCTGTGTCATCTTTTGGAGGTAGGAAAAGGGCTCAGACTAATTTTTTAAAATTAGAACATTATAGTTATGTATAGTAGTTGGGCTCATTTGACAATATCATGCATGCATATATATATGTATCACATACATACATTGTATGTATATATGTATATATATATGTATCACATATATTTACCCTATTTACTTTTTTTTCATTTACCCTATTTCAGTCCCTGTTCTCCTCTTTTCCCTCCCATTCTCCCTCCCCCTATTTTTTTTTCTTGTGCTCATTTTTCTTTCACTCATTTATTTAGTTATTTTTGATTGGTGCTTTCTACATATATACAAAGGTAGAACTCCCTGTAATATATTTATATATACACATAACATGATCTTATTCAATCCATTCCTCATTTCCTTCCCTTTCCCATCCCCCCTCCCTTACTCTCAATCTCCTTCTTCTCCACTGATCTTTCCTAGATCTTTATGATATCCAATCCCCCTGCCCCTATTGCATTCTTTCCCCCCTTTTTTTGATCTATCTTCCACATATGAGACAGAAACCTAACCTTTGACTTTCTGAGTCTGGCTTATTTCATTTAGCATGATTTTCTCCATTTTTATCTATTTACTGGCAGGTGCAATTATTTCATCTTTATGGCTGAGTAAAATGCCATTGTATGTATGTATCACATTTTAATTCATCCATTGAAGGGCACCTAGGTTGGCTCCACAGCTTGGTTATTGTGAATTGTGCTGCTATAAACACACATTGTGCCTGCATCCCTACTGTGCTGATTTTAGTTGTTTTGGATAAATACCGAGGAGTGGGATAGGGGAGTAATATGGTGGTTTCATTCTTAGTTTTTAAAGGAAGCTCTGTATTGCTTTCCAGAGTGGTTGTTCTAGTCTGCAGCCCTACCAACAATGTACAAGTGTACTTTTCCCCCCACAACCTCGCTAGCATTTATTATTTTTGTATTCTTTTTTTTTAAATTAATATATCTTTTTAGTTGTTGATGGACCTTTATTTTTATTCATTTATTTTATGTGGTGCTGAGAATCGAACCCAGTACCACACACATGCCAGATAAGTGCTCTACTACTGAGCCACAACTCTACCCCTGTTTGTATTCTTTTTTTAAAAAAAATATTTTCTATAGTTGTAGTTGGACACAATACCTTTATTTTATTTTTAAATATATATTTTTGTAGTTGTAGTTGGACACAATAACTTCATTTTATTTATTTATATGTGGTGCCAAGGATTGAACCCAGGGCCTTGCACGTGTGAGGCAAGCGCTCTACCGCTGAGCCACAACCCCAGCCTTTATTTTATTTGTTTATTTTTATGTGGTGCTGGAGATTGAACCCAGTACATCATGCATGCTGGGCAAGCACTCTACAACTGAGCCACAACCCTGGCCCCCTGTTTGTATTCTTGATTGTTACCATTCTAACTGGAATGAGATGAAATCGTAGTGTAGTGTTCGGTTTGCATTTCCCTGATTGCTAGAGATGTTGAATGTTTTTTCAGATATTTGTTGTCCATTTGTGTTTCTTCTTTTGAGAAATGTCTGTTTAGTTCTTTCTCCCATTTGTTGATTTGGGTTACTTGTTTTTTTTGGTGTTAAGTTTTTTGAGTTATTTAGATATTTTGGATGTTAATCCCATGCCAAGAGCAGCTGGCAAAGATTTTCTTCCGTTCTGTAGGTTCTCTCTCACACTCTTAATAATTTCCTTTGCTTTGTAGAAGCATTTATATTTAATGCCATCCTATTTATTGATTCTTGGTTTTATTTCTTTAGCTTTAGGTATTTTGTTGAAGAAATTGGTGCTGGCACCAATATGATGGAGTGTTGACCCTATGTTTTCTTCTAGCAGTTGCAAAGTTTCTGGTCTTAATTCCTAGGTCTTTTATCCATTTTGAGTTGATTTTTTTGTGCAGGTTGAGAGATAGGGATTTAGTTTCTTTCTTGTATTTATATATAGTATGTGTGTATTATATATTTTGTGGTGCTGGGGATTGAACCCAGGGCCTTGTGCATGTGAGGCAATCACTCTACCAACTGAGATATATCCTCAGCCCCTCCAACATATGTTTTTGACACCTTTGTCAAGTATCAGATGGCAGTAAGTATGTGGGTGTGTCTGTGTCTTCTATTCCATTGGTTTTCATGTCAATTTTGATGCCAATACCATGCTGTTCTTGTTACTTTAGCTCTGTAATATAATTTGAGATCAATTATTGCGATGCCTTCGACATCATTATTGCTCAGGATTGCTTTTGCTATTCTAGGTCTCTTGTTCTTCCAAATGAA